CAATTTGACAAACTTAATGAATACTTGAAAGAGAATAGAGGAATGAAACTTAATGCTACAATAAATATGAAAGTTATGAACTTATTTGATGAGGAGAGAAACGTAACAGTTAGGACAAGGTCGTACACTATTGTAAATGAAGAGGATTTAAGGAATGCTTTGAAAAGAATGAGACCTGATGTTGAAACAAGAATTTTAGATATGGCTTTGTATCAGTCAGGATTAATAATTAGCAATATTAATAATATTCATATCATGTATAATAAATATAATCCGACTAGAGCTGGCAAATATATTGAACTTCCAGAATGGATTAAAAAGAAAAAGGCATGTATCAATATTAAAAATCAAGATGACAAGTGTTTTAAATATTCTATTGAGTGTGGATATTGTAAAATGTGTGATAAAGCACACCCTGAAAAGATGTTTCATTACAAGAAGATAGAAAGTGATTTGATTTTTGATGGTGTGAGTTTTCCTGCTAATAATAATGATATAGATATATTTGAAGAAAATAATAAATCAATATCCATTAATGTTTATGAAATTGATGATAATGAACAAATTGTTATTAGTAGAAAATTGAAAAATACAGATGCTTCTTTTCATTTTGATTTATTAAGAGTTGATGATGAGGATTGCAGTCATTATGTGTATATAAAAAGTTTGAGCAGACTTATTAATAATCAAAAAAGTAATCATAATGGTAAGTCCTATTTTTGTAAATATTGTAATCATGGATTTAGAAATGAAGAATTATTAAATAAACATTATGATAGTGGATGCATGGAAGTTGAAGGACAACAGATAGTAATGCCTAAGCCTTATGAGAAAGTGAGTTTTAAGCATCACTTCAAAAAGTTAAGATGTCCTTTTGTTGTATATGCTGATTTTGAATGTTTGACAGAGGAACTGAAAAAACCTGATGAAGATGAAGATAAAAACACTTTTTCTTATCAAGAGCATAAACCATGTGGTTTTATGCTTAATATGGTTAATGCTGTTGATAATACAAATTATGAATTTATGTATCGTGGTAAAGATGCTGTTGATGTGTTTTGTCAAAAACTTAATGAGATTAGGGCAGAAGTAAAGGAGAAGATGGGAGAAAACGAAAAAATAGACATGACTGATGAAGACAAAGAAGATTTTAAAAATGCTAAAAACTGCTTTATTTGTGGAGACAAGTTTAGAATGAACTATAAGAATGCCAAGGAAGCAGAGAAATATAGAAAAGTTAGAGACCATTGTCATTTTACAGGTAAGTATAGAGGTTGTGCTCATAATGTTTGCAATCTTAATTTTTGTAATAGATATTTTAAAATTCCTGTATTCTTCATAACATGAAAAATTATGATGGTCATTTAATTATTCAAAATGCGGATAAATTAAGTAACAACAATAAAATAGGTGTCATCGCTCAGAACAGTGAAACATTTATTAATATCAGTTTTGAAAGTTTGAGTGTTAAAGACACTTTTGGGTTTTTAACTGCTTCATTAGATAAGTTAGTTTCAATGAGTAAGTATGACAATACAGATGAAGAAGATAAAAGTAAATGGTTATTGCGTGAAAACTGGAAAGATAATTTTAGGTTCAGTAGTAAAAATGATGTGATTAAGAGTGAGAAATGTCTAGATTTATTAACTGATAAAGGCGTTTATCCTTATGACTACATGAATTCATTTGATAAATTTGATGATGAGCAATTACCGAGTAAGGATGATTTTTATAGTCAGTTGAGTGAAGAAGGTATAAGTGTTAACGACTATGAAAGGGCAAAAATTATATGGAAGCATTTTGACATTAAGAATATGGGTGAATACCATGATTTATATTTGAAAACTGATGTATTATTATTGACTGACATTTTCGAAAATTTTAGAGATGTATGTATGAAATATTATGGATTGGACCCTGCTTATTATTATACATTGCCTAACTTTGCTTTTGATGCTATGCTTAAAATGACTGGTGTAGAGATTGATTTAATATATGACCAAGAAATGTATGAAATGATAGAAGCGGGACTTAGAGGCGGGATGTGTATGGTTTCTACTAAAAAAGTTGAAGCAAATAATAAATACATGGGAGAAGAATATGATAAAAATAAAGAAAGTAGTTATATTAACTATTTTGATGCTAATAATTTGTACGGGTTAAGCATGATACAAAATCTGCCACATAACAATCTAAAATGGGATGATACATTAAAAGAAGAAGACATTATTAATTATAAGAATAATAATATTGGATATATTCTAGAAGTGGATTTAGAATATCCTAAAGAATTACACGATTTACACAATGACTATCCAATGGCACCTGAGGTTATGAATGTTAAAGCCAACATGCTGTCAGATAAACAAATTGAAATTTATGAATTTTTAAATCATAAAAAACCTACGGATGAGAAAACAAATAAATTAGTATTGAATTTAAATGATAAAGAAAAATATGTAATCCATATAAGAACCTTACAATTTTATTTGAAGCAAGGGTTAAAACTTAAGAAAATTCATAGAGCAATTAAATTTGAACAAAAAGAAGTTTTAAAACCTTACATTGAGTTTAACACAGAGAAGAGGAAGAATGCTAGAAATGATTTTGAGAAAGATGTTTATAAATTGATGAACAATGCCATATTTGGAAAAACAATGGAGGATAAGCGAAAACATTTAGACTTTGAAGTTGTGAGTGATGAAACTAGATATATGAAGTGTGTAAGTAATCCTAACTTCAAACATAGTCATATCATTAATGAGAATTTGGTTGGAGTTGAAAAGCAAAAAACAAAGTTGAAACTAGACAAACCTATATTTATTGGGATGAGTATTTTAGATTTGAGTAAGCAACACATGTATAAATTTTATTATGACGTTATGAAGCCTAAATATGGAGATAATATTAAAATGGTATATACTGATACTGACAGTTTTGTATTTCATACTAAAACCGTTGACATTTATGAAGACCTGAATACAATTAAAAAAGAAATAGATTTTTCAGATTATCCTAAGGAACATAAATGTTATGATGAGAATAACAAGAATGTATTAGGTAAATTTAAGGATGAATTAAAAAGAAATAATAACAGGGTTTATAGCTCTTCGTCCTAAATGCTATGCTTACTCAGTTTATGGTGATGATAAAAAAATATAAGAAATGTAAGGGCATAGCAAAAGGCACAGTAAGACGTCAAATGAAATATGAAGAGTTTGAGACGGTTTTAAAAACTAATGAGGTTATACATAAGTCATTTAATAGTATTAGAAGTAAAAACCACAGAATTTTTAGTATAACAACTCAAAAAATTGCTCTTAGTAGTTATGAAAACAAAAAATATTGGATAGATAGTATAAACTCACTTGCTTACGGCCATTATAAAATAAATTCTTTGAAAACGACTTAAAGAAATATTGACTTAATATATTAAGATAGAAATGAGTGATACAGAAAGTGAATATGGTGAATATAGTGATATAGAAAGTGTGTATAGTGAATTTAGTGATACTGTCCATGAAGATATTGATGTCAAAAATATATTGAAACAAAAGTTTATGAATTACAAATGTAAAGACTGTGAGATGCTAAAGTTAACAATTCAACAGGGTTTTATAGATGGTGTTAGTAATAATATTTGTCAATGTATGATATGTGATAATTGCAATAAAATTTTAAACAAACTTGATGATATGAACAACAGAGATTTTGATACTAGAAATGCTGAAACTCTTGATGATGATTTAGAAATATTTGTTTTTATTGAAATGAATAAGTTCTTGACTGAAATAGAATTTGATAATTTATTAGATAATGGATATGTGAATGGTTTTATTTATAAGTATTATAGCCTGGTAAAAAGATTATACAATATGTCTTTTAGCATTAAACGTTTAAAATACGAAGCATTGAATGATAATGACTTTGATTTTGTAAATGAGTTTTTAAATTGTAAGTATGAAGCTCACGAACTTAGATACACAGCAAGACATGCAATTAGTGTAATGAAGGTGTTTATAAAAGAAATAGGAAATAATATGTATAATGAAAAAACAGTTGATAAAATAGTGAAACGAATTGAAAGAGAATTTTAAAATTAATTAGAATAAAGTTGAACTCATACTATGATTATCACATGTAAAATATTATATGTTGTAATTGTAATAGATTTATCGTTTGTAAAGATTGAATTATTATATTTTCCTAATTTGCTTATCTCTTTCAAAGTGCGTTGTTTAGACTTGGTATGCTTCTTCAATTTTTTCGTGCTTTGACTGTTTGTTTTTGTTTTGTTTGATACTCTTGTGATATTTTTTGTTGGTATGTTGCTTTGTTTTTTGTTGATGTGTGTTTTTGAGTTTGGGTTCTTTGATGATTTAGAGTGTTGCTGTTTTGTTGGTATGCTTGTTTGAATTATTTAATGTTGCATGCTGTGATTAAATATTTTTGTTGCTGGTTGTGATTATTTATTTTGTTTGCTTGTTGTTCTGGATTTTGTTTTCTGTTTGTTGTGTTGCTGTTGGAAAAAAAATAGTAGAAAGAATAATTCTTTGAATTCTCCTTTTACTATTTTTTTTTGGGGGGGGGGCGGGTAAACCTAGCTGTCAAGGGTATCCCCGCACCCCTTCGCCGGACCGCGCAACAAATACGTTCGTTACAACCAAGCCCTGGTCACTTTTGAAGGGATACCAACGGAAGCTGCGGTATAACCATGTTTAACAACGGGCCCACCCCAAACTCAGACCAGGAAAGCTTATGCCCACCTCAGGAAAGCTTTGGGAACCTTCTACGGGGTGCTGATCAAAGGGTTCTCATCAAGCCTTTCCCGGGGGAGGGGGGCGGGGGGCATCATGGGATATCAAAATAGCACCCAAGACATCCTTGGCTTCCTGCCTCCCCTCAACACTTTAGACCGCGAAGGGCACCACAAGGAAACCAAGAGACAAACGTGAACAACGCCACACGGGACCCCAGGGAGACCAATCCGAGGCCATCACCGCCGCCACGGCGTGCTGGGCCAAGTCTTCCAGGCGTACGCGCACGATGCCTCGAGCCAAACATCCAACGAGTGGATTCCGCGGCTCCAAAACGAATCTAAGGGAAGTCCCTAGAGAAGTGAACCGGAAATCACTTGGCAAGGCACGCCCACCCTTCTCATCGCTGGCAAAGGCCTGCATTGCCTGCAGGACAGCGGGGAGCGTGAATTTTAGGGACCCCCCCCAAAAACAAAAAAAAAACAAGGGTGAAAAGACTAACAGAGGCCAGTTCTTGCAGTGAGTTTGGGCGGTGTATTTCGGGATGTGCCTGCACTCCCCCGAAAGGTGTGAAGAGCATCTGCAGCTGCAGCGCGCTCCAGTCCCAAGGCCTCACAAGCGCATTGCACGAGCACATGGGATCGTGTTGTGGTTGGCATTTTCACCTTGAATTGAACGGAGCCAAAAGCAAAGACAGCTGTTTTTGGGGGCCGCCACATGAAAACCAGCACCGAATCGCGAATTGCCACGCATGTCATCATTGGCGTCACCGGCGACAGCGGGACTACATAGCGTGAAGTCGAATGATGCAAAGCTTTTCTCTCAGCGGATTGACATTTGCATTTAGCGGCAAGCATTGATGGCATTTCTGACTTTGTGATGACAAAGCGTTGCTGATGAACTGTTGGAAAAGGTACAAATACCCAATGCCACATCCACAGTCAAAATGGCAATATCTACGACAACCAAAGGCAAAAAGATACTAACCAATAAGGACTCGTCAACGGGTGAGCTGGGATGCAGACACCCCGCGGATGACCAGGTGGGTGTCTGCCGGGTCCAACTCACGCATCTCCGGTGCAACCTGCAACAAGTCAAAGCCATCTGGCACATCCGGCACAACTCAAGCCGCTCTTGGAAATGCAACAAAGTGGGAAGCTGAGAGATATGTGCGCCAGAGACATCCACGGATTGTGCCCTGACGCGCCTCCACAGCTTCCGTCTCCGGAGCAAAGGCCTCAGAACTTCACATGCAGCCGAATCTCCCAGATCTCGGGGTCGGGCGGTCCAGGCGGTCGTCGGCCATTGAGCCGGCGCTGGATCCTCCTCTGCCTGGGAGAACCGAAATCAAAGCAGCCGGGAGTGTGCTTTTTCAGGGTACCCTTTTCACCTTGGTCCTGGGTTTTAACAGCCCCCCCCTTTGACACATACCCAGCCAAATTTGCAGGCTGAATCTTGACACACAGGCACACCCCACATAAGTTGGCCCCTTGATGGCACGGGAAAGGTTGCGGATGTTGTGGGATTTCCCTCTCAGCGCCGCGCATCGCTGTTGGCCTTCTCCCAACCTCAGCTTGCATTGCCCATTGACCCATGACTCTGGCGCTGAACTAGGTCCTCCGACGCAGGTTGCGCCCCGTCTGCTGCAACTTGACCTTCACTCCTGGCAGCTTTAGCTAGCACTCGGCGCGCTGCAGGAAAAACGATCCCTCTTCCAGCCAAGAAGCGCTCGCGCTTGGCCTTGTACCCTGCCGTCAGGCACGAGTTGACACATGACAAGCAGTGATCCACTGCCTTGGAAGCTCGGATCCACCTCGCAAGGTGCAGAAAGAAAAAGACAAACCAACAAACCGACATCTACAAGATGCAAACACGCTCTCCAGGACTGACATGGACCAATTTATTGTGTGGCACAGGGCGTCACGGCCTCCGCGCTCAGGAAAGCTTGTGCAGCGGCAGCCCCTGCAATTCGTCGCGGTCTCGTCGGGAAATCACAGGCAAGGAAATCTGGGGCTTCCTCTGGGTTTCCCTTTGAAACTGAACAAAAAACGGGTCCCGGCAAGGGAAAGCGAAGGGGGAAGCGAGGGGCGGGGGGGCGTGGGGAGACGCGCCGGCCTTCCACCATCGTCTCAAATCCACCCGCACCGAGGACGGCCATGGAAGGTGCTGCCGCCAGCTCCTGGAGCCTTGAAGCAACCTGGAGACGTCGAAGTGCCGAGTCTTCCCCTTTGAACATCACCCCAACAAGGAAACTCATCTTTTCTAATTGTCCACAAACGTGGAACCGTGATGTCGAAAACCGGCAAAAAGGGCAAACCAGGGGGAACGCCGACAAGTCGAGAAGCTGCATTGTTTGGCGCCTCCTGGACCATCTCAGCGCGGAAGTATTCGTGCGCCTGGACTCGGTGCCATGCGCAACGCTGAGGGCGTGCTTTCCGCGGCAAGGTATGGGAGTCCTGCCCGTCTGGGCAGAATTAAGTATTTCCCCGAGACAACATGGGCAAGTTTTTCGTTTGAAATTTCGTGGGAAACTTGGTGAAGCCCTGATGCGCCTCCCAAATGGACCGGACGGAAACTGGCATCCCTGATATGAACTCAAAGCCTCCGAAAGATTGAGGCATCGACTGAAGCCGGGCGACCATCTTTCGCTTCAGCTGGACCTAGCAAGCCAACGATTTCTCTCAGAAGTCACACCCTCTGAGTGACCAGGGGATTTGCTCCTTAGACCCACATGATCAAATACAATAGCTCGCTCCAACCTGCAAGAAAAATGCCATAAACACAAGCACAGCGCCAGCACAGGAAGCCTAGATGACTCATAGGTGCGGGGTCACTTTCTCCCCTCAATCCAAATCCACTAGGTCAATTTGTTTTTTTTGGAGTCGGACCCAAAACAATATGGTTTTCCTTTCGGTGTCCCTTTCAAACCAAAAGAAAGAAAAAGAGGGCACCCTCAAAAAAAGAAATTGCCCATTTCTGCAAAGACCGTTGGGGCTCAGGCTCCTCCAGTCCAAACCGTCCAAAGCTTGGATCGCTTTCTCGGCATCCTGCAGCTCCTGAAGCCGGCATGGGTGGCTCGTCAACGTTGAGGGGGTGCCAAGTTTCGGGGTGTTTTCAAGGGCAACCGGACAAAAACCCTCGCCATTTTAGGGGGTTCCCCTCCCAAAAAAAATAATAAAGAAAACAAGACATGAAGACCGACCAAGCCACACCAAGCCACTGGCTTGCCTGAAAGGTGGCCGTGGCAACCAGGCCAATGCTGCCTGGCCGGAGTGCGGCTCGCGAAAAGGGACAAGTCTTGACTGAATCCGAGCAGGCGAGGCTCTCGAGAACTTTTGGCTTGCTGCGAAGCTGCCCGAACCTAGCGTTTCTTGGCTTGAAGGCCTCTCCTGTAGTGCAGCTTTTGTAAAATTTGACTTAAAAACAATAAACAAAAAAATTGAAACCAAGATTGAACTCTTTTCTGGGGCACTTGTTCAGCAGAGCTGTAATTCTCGCTGAAAGCTGCGGGAGAGCCTGGCATCACTCCAAAACCCACCCCCGCACGCGCGCACACACACACACCACAAATCGTTGTAGGAAGCCAAGGCCTCTTCAGAAAGCCAGGAAGATGGGAAGTTTCTAAGCCTTCAACCAAGCTCACCAATATCGCGAAAAAGCGCTCAGAGGCCCTCTGAGCTTCAGGCAATACCGTCACTTTGGATCGGTCCTGAATTTAACCAAGGAGCCACAGTGTTGTGACAGTGCAAGACTGCAACACATATGTCAGTGTCTCATTTTAGAGGGACCCTAAATTCGGTCCCGTTTTTGCTTTGGCTTCCCTCTACACAAGGTACCCAGCCGTGCAGCGAAGCAATCCGTCGCCTCACTCACCTCACCCTCGCTGGGCCTTGGCCGCAGGGTGACTTGGCTCGGCACAAGATCGGGGTGGCTCGGCATCCCGGCGGTTCGGTTGGTGGCTCGGTCTCACTCCCATCACCTTCTGCAAACTCACCGCTGTCCGCAAACTCGAACTCGAAGTCCTCAGCCTCATTTCACGACTCCAGGATTCCGGTGGACAACCCCACAGCTCGCCTGCAAGTTGTCCGGATTGTCATCCGGCTTGACCACCCCGCGCCTTATGCAAGCGGCCATGCATGCAGAGTCTGGTTTCCCAACCCAAGTCTCTATTGCATGTAACATAGCGGGCAATTCAGGATATTCACACCAGTCTGACCCTGCGCTGGCTTGAGCCACCCACTGCGCCCAATGTGCAAGGACGGCAGAACTGAGTGCTGTCGGCTCCTTGGCAATTTCTCCATTTCATTTCCACAAACCCTTCAGGCCAAATGCTCATCAGCCAGGAGATGTTTTCCATTCGCAAGCTGTTTTAAGAGGCTTGCATTTTGCTGCTCGTGAGTTGGTTGACTGTTGTCACGGCCATGGCGCTTTGTTCCAAAAGCCCCGCAACAAGACTCCGGTCCTCGGTCTGCACAGAAAAACGCTCCCACGCCTGTGCTGGGCGGCCTACAGCACGACCAGTCCCAACGAGAATGTCGGAGCCCAAAAGTTTCCCGTCGGGTTGACATCGCTTATAGAGCCTTTCTGGGAAAATATAGGGAGGGTAAAGACTTCGCGGCATTTTCCTTTACAAATGCGCCTCTTGGCGTTAATGACGTAGACTAATAGGAATCCCCAGTTGCATGTGTCCACGTTTGTGGACAGTGCAGAAGTCCCGAACAGGGTCGAACTTTTGTGGACCTGTTGGGCCATTCTGTACAGACCATGGTCCAACAGCCATCACACACACTTTGGCGGCAGGCCAGTTGGAATCCAACGTCCCCTGCTGGAGATACTTAGCTTCAGGGTGCGTGAAGTGGCATTGCATTCACAGACTAGCTAGCTAGCTACTCCATTTTGCTCCAAAAACTCGAGCAACGTAGTGTGTTTCAAAATGCAACCCATCTTCCAGCAATACCCACACACCCTCTGTGCGAAGAACCAGCCAGGCGTAGAAATGGCTGAGGCAAAAGTCTCATGATTCTCACTGTGCAGAGCGGTGTCAAACACCAGCCTTCGACCTGGCCGTTAGCTGCAAGGCTAGATCCTTCTTGGCACAAACAGCCTCCAACCAGGCGAAAACTTGTCGACCAAAGCGCAAAAGCCTTGCTTTGCCTCGGCGACTGCCAACAAACTTGTCGCTACCTGTCCAGACTGAGCCACCCGCGACCTCTTGGTCCATGCATCTCCTCAGCGCAACCCAGCGCTTGGCAACACACAAAACCTGTCAACCGCATCCAAGAATCAATTTTGCCCATGCATCCCACTTGGCCCGGGCAAGCATGCTCGCGGCGCCAGGTCTGGCACCCCGAACTGGCCCTTCGGTCGCCTCGAATGGCTAATCCCACGCTCGGGCGAGAGCGCGCGCAAAATAGGCACGCATGGCGCCTGCTTCTCGTAAGCGTAGAGCTGCATCTTCTCTTCAGACGAAAGTGACAAGCCCTTGCGGCACGGACAAGCAAATGGTGAACTGGTTGCTCGAGCGGTACCCCTCGCAACTTTCCCCCAAATCATCGAGCACTAACGGCGCCTTGGCCGCTTCCTTGGCAAGCCTGAAGCGTCGATTCAGCTCAGCCGTGCGGGTGAGGCGCTCAAGCTGTCGATTCTCCTCACGCGTCCCAAACCCAGCAGGGCAAAATTGAATCAACACATGAAACGCATGATCCCTGACTTCAGTGCACCTCCTCACAAAGGGCATTTTCAAGACTTCTTTCTGACGGACATCCATCGCCCATCCACAAGCTAGAGACGTTTGCCGGTCTCTTTCCCTCTCTCTCTCTCTTACACTCTCTCGCTCTGCTTGACACACCATCAATGCAGCGCATCCTGCACTGACCGGGCAATGGGGAGCTGGGGCTGCGAAGTGATCGTGCTGCCCTGTCTCGCCGACAGCTGTGCTGCATCTCTTTCTCGCCGAAATGCAGCCAGGGCACTCTCTCCAATGACGCCTTTGGCTTGGCCAACCTCGGGCCGTTCTTTCTCGTGCAAGATGCGCTTAGGAAGACATGGACCTTGATCAACAGGTCCTTTGCATAACATAACCATTGGTGGTAAAACCACTCGAAAGGTACGAGATGTCCCGCATATGGTCATTTCATGGCCGAAGGGAATATTGATCAACCCCCGCATGAGCTCTCTGCAGAAGCTGCCGAGAGGCAGGTGGATTGCACCACAAATGTTGCCACAACAGAGCGGCGCGTCAGACTTCTTCGGCACCTGCCAGGTCCAAAAAACACAAACCCCGGGCTTCCATTTGTTTCCCTTTGAAACAGCACCCCGCCAAAAAGGACACCCCCTGCAAATGGGCCCAAAAAGGAGCTTCCCCAAACACGGGAATGTGTCCAAAGTGGACCTCCCAAAAACAAAACATGGGGTCGCTTGCTTCGTCCCGAGAACCACAAAGACGGTGCCCGATGACACCCGGAGCCCAGAGCCCGGGAGTCGGGGACCCGGGAGTCGGGGCCCGGCCTCCGAGGAGCTGAAGTTGCTGGGGTTCTCGCCGCTGACGCCCTCGGCGTGGAAGGTTCGATCGCTTTTCGCTTTGATCTCATGGAGCAAACGATTTGCCGATTTGCCCTTTCCAAGTGGTGGATCCATCCACATGAAGATTGCCGATTAATCATGGGTGGAGGGCGGGAGGGCGGGTGGGAGTCACATCAGAGTTCGTTTCCTCATCGCCGAGCCACGCTCCTCGTTGACTGCACCGCCTGCACCGGTACCGAACCCTCTGAGGACGAGGGTGGTGGCGGCGGCAGAGTGGCTTGGTTGGAGCCAGTCAAAGCATAGGCCTCGGCAGGAAAGCCCTCAGCGCCTCTTTGCCCCAACTCAAAACCCCAAGCCTTTTCGAAGCCATTCTCCAAAGTCCCGAGCCCGGGACCAACGGCGAGATCTCCTTGATTTCCTTGGAGCCAGCTCGAGGAGTGTCCGCCTCAGGCCGCGCCTTCCGTCACACACACGGCTTGGACGCGCGGTTCCGGGCCTTGGACTTGGACACGCGGCGTCCTGCAAGCCAGCGGAGGTCGTTGAGTCAAAGCCCAAAGGCACCCAAAGGAAAAGTTGCAAAGTTTGAAAACTTCCTCCCAAGGGAAAAATTGTGACAATTGTGGGGTCCCGGCTTCCCGAGGACTTCGCCACGAGTTTTGAGACTTTGATACCCTAGCATACAACACTATGTATGTGAATATACTGTATTGTGCGGGCATGGCTGCCAGCTGCATGACTTCTGCAGCGGGGGTCCCACAGCTGCGCTGGCGATTCTCCTGAGCCGCTTGCTTCAATCACACGCCTATGGTTCATAGCTCCCTCAGCTTGTATCGCACAATTCGCTATTTTTTGGACTACCAGCAGAAGTATGCCATGCATTTGCTTTCAGCAATCCATCGGGTCTGTTCCTGAAAGTGCTGGAGGATGAGGCCGCAGAATCCTTGGCCAGTCAATCCTCCGCAGGTTGCACGCCGGCCGCCAATCACAGGCAAGCTGCAAAGGTATCCGCCCTGGCGGCAATTCTTCCCTTGGCATCATCCTCCTCGACACGCGCGTCGAGGCACGAAAAAGAGCAAAACACATGAATGTGCATTTGTTCTTGACAGTTGGGCGAGTGATGGCACAATTCCCCTGTTGGTTCAGCTGTTTTCTTATGTCCTCGGTATCCTCCTCAACAGTTTTCTCATCTTTCTCATCACCAAGTCGTCGGTCGTGTCTGAGCAAGGTGGGCTTGGAGCCGCGCCTCGAGAGAAGTTTTGGTCGGCAAGCGGCTGAAGTTGAACCCTGACCGGATGAATGCACCGGCCTGGGGGGCTGGGGGGGGATGAGGGGTTGGGGTGGGGGTGGGGCGGGGCGGGGCCCCAATCAATTGGGGAGGTCTGCTCCCACAGCTGATCCACCCGGCCTGTGGGTGCGCGGAGCTGCTTTCAGAAGCGGCTCAGCTGGGTCATAGACACCTAGGACACGCCAATCGATGAACGCTGCCAATTGCTGCAGCCAGGAAACACAGCGCATGGCAAAGAACAGGCATCCAGTGAGTTGCATGCGACGCGGTCACAACAACTTCGCCGACTCTTTGCTCGGAGCCTTCTTGTTGGAGCCTTGTTGAAGTTACACAGTCGTCAGTGTATGACTCCATACTTCCATGGTGTATGTGGGTAGGAATCTCAACTAGGAACCCCTTGGTGGGCATCGTTTAGGCGGGGATGTGTGTGTGTGTGTGTCTCCACTGTCCACGAACCATGTTTGAGGGGGGTGAAACTCATGTCCAGTTGGTCTTCGGCAGTGCCCATCAACACTGCTGTCCATGCCAAACCATTGCTCTACATTCACGTGTCAAACGACACTCTGCTACTTGACTTGAAAGCACAAACATGTCTTGGAGCTACAACTAGGTGTCTCTCTATCTTGTGTTTGTATGTCCTTCTGTTTTTTCCTTTCTTTATGTATTTTGTTGTTACCTTTCCTTATTTCTTTCTTTATTTCCTTCTTTCTTTATTGTTTTCTTTCTTTCTTTCGTCCTTATTTCCTTCTTGTTATTTTGTGTATTGCTTTACTTGATTTCCTGTATGTTGTTATGGTCCGTTTTTTCTGTTACGTTGTATATGTCATGCCTGTATTGTTTTCTTTCTTTATTCAGTTTCTTCTTTTACTTGCATTTCTTCCTATATTAATTTCTTTCTGTCCTTTCTTCCCTAGTTTATTATTTATTTGTTTCTTTGTTTATTTACTGTTGTCTTTCCTTCGTTTGTTCGCTCGGTCTTTCTTTCTTTCTTTCGTTAAAGTGGTTCTTTCTTTGTCTTCCTTCCTTCCTTCCTTCCTTCCTTCCTTCCTTCCTTCCTTCCTTCTTTCTGCCTTTCCTTCTTCGCTTTTCTTTTCTTTCCCCTCTCTCTTTGTTATTTTCTTTCATTCTTCCATTATGTGTGTATTTATTTATATTTGTTCTTCCTTTCTTTCTTTCTCTATTTATTGCTTTCGTTCTTTGGCTGCTTATGTCTTTCTGTTGTTGTGCCGCTTTTTTGGGGAGGAGGGATTTATTTCTGCAGTTATTTCTTTGTTTTGTTTATCTTCTTTGCTTTTTGTTCTTGGTTTCTTTCATTGTTGGTTTATTTCTTTGCTTATTTCTTTCTTTTGATTGTTTATTTCCTTATTTATTTCGTTCCTTATTTATTAATTTATTTCATTTTGTTTATATTATTTATTCTTCTTATTTGATTCCTATTATTTCGTCTTTTCTTCTATTTTCTCATGTGTTCTCTTATTTATGTCTTTCTTTCTTTCTGTATTTATTTATTTATTTCTATATTTGTTCCTATCTTTCTGTCGCTGTTTCTTTCTTGCTTTCTGTCTGTACTTATTTCGTTCCTTCATTCTTTCTTTCGTTTCTTCCTCCCTCCACCTGGCTTCCCTTCCCTTCCCTGCCCTTGCCTTCCTTCTTCCCTTCCTTCCTTCCTTCTTGTGTGATTTCTGAACTTTGTCTGTGTTCCCGCTTTCCTTTTCTTTTTGTTTCGGTCCTTCTTCTTCCTTTGCTAAGTGGAGCCTGCCTGCCCTCTCAAATCAACAGAACTGAGGAATGAATGGGACAAGTGTCTCCAAGCGATCATTGTGGCACATCATCTTGTCAATTGTCAACTGCACTGCATACTCAAAAGCTGGTGGGCATTCATCTTCAACAGCCCAAACCATTTTGCCTGCGAACAAGTCACTAGAAATCAAGACACGGAACATCTTGAGTTCAGCTGTCCCTTACCCGACGCAGTGCTTGCGCAAAGCTGCCAGCACTGCGACATCCAGAAGAAGTGCAGCCCATCCGAGCTCCAGGATGCCGAAGAACAACACTGCGGAATGTGAAGTGGGAATCTGTTTTATTGCTGTCTGGCTGACACATGGTAAGTTTCTGTTGATGTCCTGAATGTGGGTGCATGGGAAATTGTTTGTGCCAGCTTCTGGCTACGTGCGTTTGAGCAGCAAGCACAGGCAAAGGTGATGAACATGAGGACACAGCCAGCACGAAAGGCAAGGATTCGCATGCCATCCATCTTCATTGTGTGTCACCGCCTCCGGCTGCTCGCTTCTCCGCGTTGCTTCGAAGGTCAACACCGTGCAGTTTGGCAACCGCCTTGGCAGCACACTTGTCGGTTCGCAGTGGGGAATCAATTTCGGGGTTGGAATTCTCAATTGAAACTACAAGGAATGATTTGTAGGGCTTCCTTGTTCTCTACGTACAAGTGCAAGGGGCTCCCACATTGGTTGGTTTGCCTTTGATTCCCAAGGAACACCAGAGCCATCCCCGATTCGGGAAACACTGACGAGTACGCATGGCCCGAGGGCCTCTTCTGCAGCCGCTGCTTCACGAAAGGCTGCAAAGAAGATAGGACCTTTGACGGAAATTGCGGATCCAACTGCATTCCAGCAACCATTGACCGATGTCTTGCTCAATAGACTGCCTGAGGCTTGGAGATCCGCCTCCGGTGCCTCGGATCTCTGATGGCGCGCCGTCCATAGACCCACCCAGCATTTGGCCGAACTTTGGCCGGCGCGGGCTCGAAGAGCAGCGGGCCAAAGCGCCGAAGCCTCGCCCAAAGTTGCAAACCGCCAACCATTGCCTTCCAAGTTGGCCAACAACATGGCAAGCTGGCCAGATCGCCAGTGGCCAGAATGAAGACCCCTCATATCTTCGATGGGAAGGTAGGGCTCTTTAGATTTGGAATGCGTGTCTAAGTTGGCCAAAAAAAAGTTGAGAAGCTGCAGGGGAGGGCGGACCTTGCTGTGTCTGCTTCAGCTTTGTCGCGCGCGCTTTCTGCTTGGCGTTTCTTTGCTTAACATGATATTTGGGTCTCTTTTTGGGGGAACCCCCTGTTGTCTGTCGTTAAAGGATTCAGGGCATCCCTCTTGCAGAGCCCGCGGCAGCCGCGCCAACTTCTCCGGAAGGAAAGGAAGGACGTCCTCCTGGCAATTCAGAGGCAGGAGCTTCCTCCATTGACTTCTCTCTCTGTCCTCCACCCAGGAGGCCGGAAAGTTTCGCAGCTTGACCAGCCTCACTTGCCGCAAAAGGCGGCCAGTCCTGGCGCCTTTGCCACCAAGCTGCGTCCCCGTCGCCGGGTGGTCCGATCCATCCTGCATGGAGAGCTTCAGCCAAGGTATGCAAGGCCCAAGGCCCGATCCTCTTCACTTTCCTGGGTCTCTGAGTCCGACTGACGTCCTGTGGCAAGGTTCCGAAGCCATGCTTCAATACCGCGCACACCCAGCCGCATGCTTTCTCCTGCTTCTTGCGCGGGCCACGAGCCTTGCGATCCCTGGCCTTCCGAGGAGACCGCACGCATCTGTTTCCGCTTGGCAGCTTCAAGCTTCAAAATCAGAAGTGATGATGTTCATAGCCGCAAAGCCCCGATCCTTTGAAAAGCAAACATAATTTGCCCTCTCTGCCAAACACATCGCCTGACCACAACAACGCAGCGGCAGCGGCAGCGCCAGCGGCATCCATGAAGCTCACATCCTGCCCACCTCTTCCTTAAGCAACATCTGAGACAGCAAGGCTTCCGAAGCTTTAGGCTGAGTTTGACGAAGCGAAGACAGCTGCGGCCAACTTCGCCAGGTTGTTGTGCTGATGAAACGCCATGCTTCTGTGAGGCGTGTATGGACATGCCAACTTGTGTGTGTGTGTGTGCGTGAAAATTCCAGGTTCTGGCACGTTTTTGTGCGAAATAGATATGCCATGGCAACTTGTGTGTGTGTGTGTCTATGTGTGCGTGAAGCACACGTCTAGGGCCAAATCTGGCTGCAAGCATGAACACGCCGGCTATGTACCGCCCATCTTTGCTTTCCTCAATATTCCAACATTATGCTTCGATACAAGCAAGAAAGTCTGTCTCAAACTGCAATGAATGAAAATGCTCCCCACGAGAAAACAACAGATCTAGTAACGATGCATTTCGGTCTGCCAAACATTCGAAGCTCGCCTGCTGGCTATCAGTGCCCATCCCGAATGCATTGCTACATCAGTGCATCAATCCAAGCGGCCTCTGCAGAGGTTGCCACCAATCGCGACAATCTCTCAAACGCGCAATTCAAAAGCACGTGCGGCAGGAGAAAGTATGCAAGGAGCAAATGCCCCGCGCCAGGGCGCCAGAAGAGAACAGACCTTGGAAGAAAATCATCAAGAAATGGAGACCGGGACTGGTCGCATGCAAGGGTGGGTGGAAAGAGTGTTCAATGAGGTGAGGAGTGGCCGGTGACCAAATGGAACGCTGCATAACAAACATGGATCTGTTATCTTCTAGCTTCGAATTCCGCAGCTGTAGACTGAGTTAAAAGATGGGTAAGCGAGTACCAGCGCTCACCTTGGAAATTTTCACCAAGGCTTCGCGAAGATGCACGACGCTAAGCAGAGATTGACTTGACAACTTCGCAGCCGGTCGACGCACTCAGCACTCCTCCAGCGTCTCAGGCTTCTCGCGGCCCATGAGGTGCAAGAGCTTCTCCATGTCCGCCTGGGTGTTCACCGTCTGGGTGCGGTTCACCCCATAGGCCTCCAGGTTCTTGCGGATCTCCTTGAGGTTGGCCATGGCTTCCTAGGCATTCGAGGCAGCTTCCAACATGGCATCAATTCATCAAGCAAAAACCAAAAGAGGTAAGTGGAAGACAAGCTGCCTCCACGGGCTTTGCCAACTCTTGGAGGCGGCGAGGCCTGTCCGGCACGTCGTAGAGGCTGTTGATTTTTGCCTCACGCGCTGAACCGGTTTGTTGATTTATCCGCTCAAACCATCCAAGCGTCGTGCCCCGTGGCCGACGGCCGTGCTCCCCCCCCTCCCCGCCAGCAACGGCAGTGCACCAAAACAAAACTGCTGCAGCGTGAGGCTGTGGCTTTAAACTTCTGCTCTGACGTGTGCATTCCAACCAAAGCACCGAAAGCAAATCATTCAACGAGAGTGCGGCAAGCATAAAGAACATCAGCAAAGCATCGTGACATCCAACTCTGACAGGTTCTTTGCAATTATCCAGAACCGGAAAGCCAAGCCGTTTCAAAAACATGGCCTGCGCTGCGCCATTCTTGGTGAGGGCGTTGTAGCGGCAGGCCGCGTGCACTGCAGCACCGTACGGCGCCACAGCCGCTGCGGAGGTCGTGATTCCAGCAATGGAGCCAGCGCACAGCGCGTTCACGTCCAGCAAGTCCTGCAGCGTCAGCCAATCGGAGCAAAAAATGGTGGCGGATTTTACGGGATGGGCAGGCATTGATTGCTCAAAACCCGACAAGTCCGAGCAGGCACTAAAAGAATCATGTGAATCATGTGCATGAACTGATGGGCAACACGTGTCATAGCATCGAAAACCGCAAGAATGGTTTGCGCTGACCTGCAAGTCTGGCATTTGACCGCCATGCATCCTTCGTCGTCTGTCCTGGCAGTGAACCACAATCAGGTTGATGAAGGTCACAACTTGGCCAATGTAAGCCACCGCACCGCCGATGTCCACAGTACACAAAGCCTCCGGGATACCCTTGAGCTTGTTCAGGGGCGAGTGCAGGGACTGCCAGTTGCAGTTGCCAGAGTTCACGGCAGAGTTGATGGCGAGGCCCATGTTGGCGATGTTCGAAGCCACCATGCCAACGTCGACCATGCACTGCACGCCGTTGCCCACCGCGCCTTCGCCGATGAGCAGTCGACGGCCCCTCACAGTCTGGTCGCCCAGCACGCTGATCTGAGTGGTCGTCAGTTGAGGAGGAGTACCAGTGCACGTGGCAGCCGCCAGGGATGCAGTTGCCGCCAGCTCGCCCATCACTGACACCAAGCCGTTCACACCCGCAGAGCAGATGGCATCCACGTTGATGCTCGAGGCACAGTACGAGGCGGCCAGGGAGAGCTTGGTGGCAAGGTTTCCCACCCAAGCTCCAAGGATTCCGCCGTTCACCTGACAAGCGAGCTCAGACTCTCCGTCGCGCGGGGAGGGGCATGTGCGGATGATGGCGTTGATGTCGTCGCCCATGCCCACGGCGCTCACAAAGGCCTCCCACTGAGCACAGGAAAGGTCAGCAAGGGCTAGGAAGGGCCGAGCCGGAAAGGGCCATATTGGAACAGTACTGGCCATCCCCAAGCGGCCCGGCCTCCAGAACGTTGAAGCTGCACTGGGCTGTGCCCGCAAGCGCAAGGCCCTCCTGGCGCTTGTAATTCTGAACCTCACATGCAGCGGATCACAACACTTTCGTGCACTGGACTGAAGCACAAGCAACACGTAGCGCTTGGGAACCAGAAGCCCAAGCGTTCATTGCTTCTTAGTGGCCGCTTTGACGGTCGCCAGCGTGTCCAGCTTGCGGATGTGGTGTTTCTCCCACTGGTCCTCTGCCTCCTTGCCACCTGAGCCACGGCATGCAAAGCCGGCACCCGCATGGCCATGAGCATAGTTAAGGTTGATCTCATATTTGGGAACCCCCACATATTTGCAAATTCCAAATCCTCCCCTCATTGCACACGGGAATATCTGAGCAATGAGTGGTGAACAAAGGCGCTAACTAACAGTCAGGTGAGGAATCTCCTGGGATCCGCCGCAGGTTTCGAATTGCAGGGCCCCCTACGACCTTGGGGCACGGGGGGGAGCGGGGGTTCCTGAACATGTGGTGGTGGACATTGATGCACAAAAAGGGGCCAACAAGGGCTACCGTCCAGACCAAGTCAGACCAAGCGGCCCTTCTTCATGGCATTCAGCACGATCTCGTCCGCCTCCTTCTGGTCTTTCACTGCCGCGAGCTTCTTGCTGCTTGTCAGCATTGCCTCGTTCACATCCTCCTCGAACTTGCCCTGCAGCGCTCCGAGGTTGCTGCACCTCTTGGCGGAGTGCATCGACGCAAGCGCTGCCACCCCGGCCAACAGGGCCACCGCGCCAGTGATGATCTTCACACGAGTCCAGCCGCGCTGGACAGGCTGGGTCTCACGCTCCGAAGAGCTGCCAGCTTCCACCTCTGCGAAGTCTTGAGACATCAGGGACATGCTCGACGCTGCTCGACGGTTGCGAGACTTGCTTCGGGTCGCTGGCGTCTCGGGCCAAGTGGCTCAGCACAAAAAAGGGTTTGGCCAATCCCAAGATGCTGCCAGAGCACAAGCCGAGTCACACACGGGTTTTGTTCGCCCGCCGCTTTGCTTTTCAGCCGGTGGCCTTGAAGGCCATGCGGGCATGCAGAAGTGCAAAAGATTGGAGAAAAGAAGTATGGGGCGGAAAAGGATTCAAATTCCACTTCACCGCCCCATGAAGCACCAAGCTTCAAAGGCGCTCATGTTGTTTCATCTAGGCAGGCGGGCCAATTCACCCGCTATGCCCGTGAGCAATTCCGACACCAAGAACACCCAGAGACGCCGGAACAAGGCAAAGCTGCAATGCTTAAATGGCTCAAGAAGGCATGTTAATGTGCCAAAAAGATCGGCGGGTCCGGGAGTCTAAACAAAAAGGGCCGCAGTCGGCGCCACCGCGGGTCGGCGGCTCTTGCACTTTGCTGAGTCCAACGCCCCCGGGGCCAGCAACGTCTATATAACGGTCTATTGCCCTCTATTTGTGTACCAGCAAACTTGTTCAGAATTTGCTTGCACTATAAAATCAGTGAACATATGGTCCCTCAGCAGCTCAGCACTCCTCCAGCGTCTCAGGCTTCTCGCGGCCCATGAGGTGCAAGAGCTTCTCCATGTCCGCCTGGGTGTTCACCGTCTGGGTGCGGTTCACCCCATAGGCCTCCAGGTTCTTGCGGATCTCCTTGAGGTTGGCCGTGGCTTCCTAGGCATTCGAGGCAGCTTCCAACATGGCATCAATTCATCAAGCAAAAACCAAAAGAGGTAAGTGGAAGACACGCTGCCTCCACGGGCTTTGCCAACTCTTCGAGGCGGCGAGGCCTGTCCGGCACGTCGTAGAGGCTGTTGATTTTTGCCTCACGCGCTGAACCGGTTTGTTGATTTATCCGCCCAAACCATCCAAGCGTCGTGCCCCGTGCAAGTGCCGACGGCCATGCTCCCCCCCCCTCCCCGCCAGCAACGGCAGTGCACCAAAACAAAACTGCTGCAGCGTGAGGCTGTGGCTTTAAACTTCTGCTCTGACGTGTGCATTCCAACCAAAGCACCGAAAGCAAATCATTCAACGAGAGTGCGGCAAGCATAAAGAACATCAGCAAAGCATCGTGACATCCAACTCTGACAGGTTCTTTGCAATTATCCAGAACCGGAAAGCCAAGCCGTTTCAAAACATGGCCTGCGCTGCGCCATTCTTGGTGAGGGCGTTGTAGCGGCAGGCCGCGTGCACTGCAGCACCGTACGGCGCCACAGCCGCTGCGGAGGTCGTGATTCCAGCAATGGAGCCAGCGCACAGCGCGTTCACGTCCAGCAAGTCCTGCAGCGTCAGCCAATCGGAGCAAAAAATGGTGGCGGATTTTACGGGATGGGCAGGCATTGATTGCTCAAAACACGACAAGTCCGAGCAGGCACTAAAAGAATCATGTGAATCATGTGCATGAACTGATGGGCAACACGTGTCATAGCATCGAAAACCGCAAGAATGGTTTGCGCTGACCTGCAAGTCTGGCATTTGACCGCCATGCATCCTTCGTCGTCTGTCCTGGCAGTGAACCACAATCAGGTTGATGAAGGTCACAACTTGGCCAATGTAAGCCACCGCACCGCCGATGTCCACAGTACACAAAGCCTCCGGGATACCCTTGAGCTTGTTCAGGGGCGAGTGCAGGGACTGCCAGTTGCAGTTGCCAGAGTTCACGGCAGAGTTGATGGCGAGGCCCATGTTGGCGATGTTCGAAGCCACCATGCCAACGTCGACCATGCACTGCACGCCGTTGCCCACCGCGCCTTCGCCGATGAGCAGTCGACGGCCCCTCACAGTCTGGTCGCCCAGCACGCTGATCTGAGTGGTCGTCAGTTGAGGAGGAGTACCAGTGCACGTGGCAGCCGCCAGGGATGCAGTTGCCGCCAGCTCGCCCATCACTGACACCAAGCCGTTCACACCCGCAGAGCAGATGGCATCCACGTTGATGCTCGAGGCACAGTACGAGGCGGCCAGGGAGAGCTTGGTGGCAAGGTTTCCCACCCAAGCTCCAAGGATTCCGCCGTTCACCTGACAAGCGAGCTCAGACTCTCCGTCGCGCGGGGAGGGGCATGTGCGGATGATGGCATTGATGTCGTCGCCCATGCCCACGGCGCTCACAAAGGCCTCCCACTGAGCACAGGAAAGGTCAGCAAGGGCTAGGAAGGGCCGAGCCGGAAAGGGCCATATTGGAACAGTACTGGCCATCCCCAAGCGGCCCGGCCTCCAGAACGTTGAAGCTGCACTGGGCTGTGCCCGCAAGCGCAAGGCCCTCCTGGCGCTTGTAATTCTGAACCTCACATGCAGCGGATCACAACACTTTCGTGCACTGGACTGAAGCACAAGCATCACGTAGCGCTTGGGAACCAGAAGCCCAAGCGTTCATTGCTTCTTAGTGGCCGCTTTGACGGTCGCCAGCGTGTCCAGCTTGCGGATGTGGTGTTTCTCCCACTGGTCCTCTGCCTCCTTGCCACCTGAGCCACGGCATGCAAAGCCGGCACCCGCATGGCCATGAGCATAGTTAAGGTTGATCTCATATTTGGGAACCCCCACATATTTGCAAATTCCAAATCCTCCCCTCATTGCACACGGGAATATCTGAGCAATGAGTGGTGAACAAAGGCGCTAACTAACAGTCAGGTGAGGAATCTCCTGGGATCCGCCGCAGGTTTCGAATTGCAGGGCCCCCTACGACCTTGGGGCACGGGGGGGAGCGGGGGTTCCTGAACATGTGGTGGTGGACATTGATGCACAAAAAGGGGCCAACAAGGGCTACCGTCCAGACCAAGTCAGACCAAGCGGCCCTTCTTCATGGCATTCAGCACGATCTCGTCCGCCTCCTTCTGGTCTTTCACTGCCGCGAGCTTCTTGCTGCTTGTCAGCATTGCCTCGTTCACATCCTCCTCGAACTTGCCCTGCAGCGCTCCGAGGTTGCTGCACCTCTTGGCGGAGTGCATCGACGCAAGCGCTGCCACCCCGGCCAACAGGGCCACCGCGCCAGTGATGATCTTCACACGAGTCCAGCCGCGCTGGACAGGCTGGGTCTCACGCTCCGAAGAGCTGCCAGCTTCCACCTCTGCGAAGTCTTGAGACATCAGGGACATGCTCGACGCTGCTCGACGGTTGCGAGACTTGCTTCGGGTCGCTGGCGTCTCGGGCCAAGTGGCTCAGCACAAAAAAGGGTTTGGCCAATCCCAAGATGCTGCCAGAGCACAAGCCGAGTCACACACGGGTTTTGTTCGCCCGCCGCTTTGCTTTTCAGCCGGTGGCCTTGAAGGCCATGCGGGCATGCAGAAGTGCAAAAGATTGGAGAAAAGAAGTATGGGGCGGAAAAGGATTCAAATTCCACTTCACCGCCCCATGAAGCACCAAGCTTCAAAGGCGCTCATGTTGTTTCATCTAGGCAGGCGGGCCAATTCACCCGCTATGCCCGTGAGCAATTCCGACACCAAGAACACCCAGAGACGCCGGAACAAGGCAAAGCTGCAATGCTTAAATGGCTCAAGAAGGCATGTTAATGTGCCAAAAAGATCGGCGGGTCCGGGAGTCTAAACAAAAAGGGCCGCAGTCGGCGCCACCGCGGGTCGGCGGCTCTTGCACTTTGCTGAGTCCAACGCCCCCGGGGCCAGCAACGTCTATATAACGGTCTATTGCCCTCTATTTGTGTACCAGCAAACTTGTTCAGAATTTGCTTGCACTATAAAATCAGTGAACATATGGTCCCTCAGCAGCTCAGCACTCCTCCAGCGTCTCAGGCTTCTCGCGGCCCATGAGGTGCAAGAGCTTCTCCATGTCCGCCTGGGTGTTCACCGTCTGGGTGCGGTTCACCCCATAGGCCTCCAGGTTCTTGCGGATCTCCTTGAGGTTGGCCATGGCTTCCTAGGCATTCGAGGCAGCTTCCAACATGGCATCAATTCATCAAGCAAAAACCAAAAGAGGTAAGTGGAAGACACGCTGCCTCCACGGGCTTTGCCAACTCTTCGAGGCGGCGAGGCCTGTCCGGCACGTCGTAGAGGCTGTTGATTTTCGCCTCACGCGCTGAACCGGTTTGTTGATTTATCCGCCCAAACCATCCAAGCGTCGTGCCCCGTGCAAGTGCCGACGGCCGTGCTCCCCCCCCCCTCCCCGCCAGCAACGGCAGTGCACCAAAACAAAACTGCTGCAGCGTGAGGCTGTGGCTTTAAACTTCTGCTCTGACGTGTGCATTCCAACCAAAGCACCGAAAGCAAATCATTCAACGAGAGTGCGGCAAAAGCATAAAGAACATCAGCAAAGCATCGTGACATCCAACTCTGACAGGTTCTTTGCAATTATCCAGAACCGGAAAGCCAAGCCGTTTCAAAAACATGGCCTGCGCTGCGCCATTCTTGGTGAGGGCGTTGTAGCGGCAGGCCGCGTGCACTGCAGCACCGTACGGCGCCACAGCCGCTGCGGAGGTCGTGATTCCAGCAATGGAGCCAGCGCACAGCGCGTTCACGTCCAGCAAGTCCTGCAGCGTCAGCCAATCGGAGCAAAAAATGGTGGCGGATTTTACGGGATGGGCAGGCATTGATTGCTCAAAACACGACAAGTCCGAGCAGGCACTAAAAGAATCATGTGAATCATGTGCATGAACTGATGGGCAACACGTGTCATAGCATCGAAAACCGCAAGAATGGTTTGCGCTGACCTGCAAGTCTGGCATTTGACCGCCATGCATCCTTCGTCGTCTGTCCTGGCAGTGAACCACAATCAGGTTGATGAAGGTCACAACTTGGCCAATGTAAGCCACCGCACCGCCGATGTCCACAGTACACAAAGCCTCCGGGATACCCTTGAGCTTGTTCAGGGGCGAGTGCAGGGACTGCCAGTTGCAGTTGCCAGAGTTCACGGCAGAGTTGATGGCGAGGCCCATGTTGGCGATGTTCGAAGCCACCATGCCAACGTCGACCATGCACTGCACGCCGTTGCCCACCGCGCCTTCGCCGATGAGCAGTCGACGGCCCCTCACAGTCTGGTCGCCCAGCACGCTGATCTGAGTGGTCGTCAGTTGAGGAGGAGTACCAGTGCACGTGGCAGCCGCCAGGGATGCAGTTGCCGCCAGCTCGCCCATCACTGACACCAAGCCGTTCACACCCGCAGAGCAGATGGCATCCACGTTGATGCTCGAGGCACAGTACGAGGCGGCCAGGGAGAGCTTGGTGGCAAGGTTTCCCACCCAAGCTCCAAGGATTCCGCCGTTCACCTGACAAGCGAGCTCAGACTCTCCGTCGCGCGGGGAGGGGCATGTGCGGATGATGGCATTGATGTCGTCGCCCATGCCCACGGCGCTCACAAAGGCCTCCCACTGAGCACAGGAAAGGTCAGCAAGGGCTAGGAAGGGCCGAGCCGGAAAGGGCCATATTGGAACAGTACTGGCCATCCCCAAGCGGCCCGGCCTCCAGAACGTTGAAGCTGCACTGGGCTGTGCCCGCAAGCGCAAGGCCCTCCTGGCGCTTGTAATTCTGAACCTCACATGCAGCGGATCACAACACTTTCGTGCACTGGACTGAAGCACAAGCATCACGTAGCGCTTGGGAACCAGAAGCCCAAGCGTTCATTGCTTCTTAGTGGCCGCTTTGACGGTCGCCAGCGTGTCCAGCTTGCGGATGTGGTGTTTCTCCCACTGGTCCTCTGCCTCCTTGCCACCTGAGCCACGGCATGCAAAGCCGGCACCCGCATGGCCATGAGCATAGTTAAGGTTGATCTCATATTTGGGAACCCCCACATATTTGCAAATTCCAAATCCTCCCCTCATTGCACACGGGAATATCTGAGCAATGAGTGGTGAACAAAGGCGCTAACTAACAGTCAGGTGAGGAATCTCCTGGGATCCGCCGCAGGTTTCGAATTGCAGGGCCCCCTACGACCTTGGGGCACGGGGGGGAGCGGGGGTTCCTGAACATGTGGTGGTGGACATTGATGCACAAAAAGGGGCCAACAAGGGCTACCGTCCAGACCAAGTCAGACCAAGCGGCCCTTCTTCATGGCATTCAGCACGATCTCGTCCGCCTCCTTCTGGTCTTTCACTGCCGCGAGCTTCTTGCTGCTTGTCAGCATTGCCTCGTTCACATCCTCCTCGAACTTGCCCTGCAGCGCTCCGAGGTTGCTGCACCTCTTGGCGGAGTGCATCGACGCAAGCGCTGCCACCCCGGCCAACAGGGCCACCGCGCCAGTGATGATCTTCACACGAGTCCAGCCGCGCTGGACAGGCTGGGTCTCACGCTCCGAAGAGCTGCCAGCTTCCACCTCTGCGAAGTCTTGAGACATCAGGGACATGCTCGACGCTGCTCGACGGTTGCGAGACTTGCTTCGGGTCGCTGGCGTCTCGGGCCAAGTGGCTCAGCACAAAAAAGGGTTTGGCCAATCCCAAGATGCTGCCAGAGCACAAGCCGAGTCACACACGGGGTTTGTTCGCCCGCCGCTTTGCTTTTCAGCCGGTGGCCTTGAAGGCCATGCGGGCATGCAGAAGTGCAAAAGATTGGAGAAAAGAAGTATGGGGCGGAAAAGGATTCAAATTCCACTTCACCGCCCCATGAAGCACCAAGCTTCAAAGGCGCTCATGTTGTTTCATCTAGGCAGGCGGGCCAATTCACCCGCTATGCCCGTGAGCAATTCCGACACCAAGAACTCCCAAAGACGCCGGAACAAGGCAAAGCTGCAATGCTTGAATGGCTCAAGAAGGCATGTTAATGTGCCAAAAAGATCGGGATGAAAATGATGATGAACATGATGATGATCATGATGATGATGATGATGACGATGATGATGAACATCACCATCATCATCAGCGTCATCATCATCATTTTCACGTTCATCACATCCCCCGCATCTGCAGCAGTTACCATGACAATCATGATAACGCATCTTCTGCATTTCCAGTCGGGTCTAACGGGACACTTGAAACGTATATAAAAAAGATGATGATGATGATGATGATGAACTGACATGATAATCATCATGACGCATCCTCAGCATCACCAGCAGTCATCATGATAATCATGATGACTGCTGGTGATGCTGAGGATGCGTCATGATGATTATCATGTCAGTTCATCATCATCATCATCAGCATCATCACGGTGCTTATCATCATCATCTTCTTCGTCATCGTCCTTATCTTTTTTTATATACGTTTCAAGTGTCCCGTTAGACCCGATTTGAGACGCGGACATGATTATCATGATGACTGCTGGTGATGCTGAGGATGTGTCATGACGATTATCATGTCAGTTTAGTGTCCCGTTAGACCCGATTTGAGATGCAGAAGATGCGCGGACATGATTATCATGATGACTGCTGGTGATGCTGAGGATGCGTCATGATGATTATCATGTCAGTTGGTGTTCATCATCATCATCTTCTTCGTCATCGTCCTTATCTTTTTTTTATATACGTTTCAAGTGTCCCGTTAGACCCGATTTGAGATGCAGAAGATGCGTGGACATGATTATCATGCGCAATTGGGTAGCTATTCGTGCATGCGGGCAACCGGCAACGCTCTGTGGCCATTGCTGTGTTGCCAAGCAGTTCTCGCTATTTGCGGTGAACATGAGCGACTACGGAAAACACCTGTACAAAGCCCTGCAGCTAAGATGCCCCCCCCACGGTTGTTTTCCGCAATTCAAACACGCCAATCCAAACAAGCCTGTTTCAACCAAATATTACTCCCTAAAAATGGTTTTCCAGCAGAAAACCGAAATTGGTTATCTTATTGAAGAGTGTTGTTAAAGGTCTGTTGCACTGCTCCTAGCTTGAACCCATACAAACCCCAAACAAAGCTGCCAACAAGGACACACACACAATTTTCCCAGTTTGCTTGGGAGGTTGCACCAGAGCCCGACCGACCCAATCGTTCCGCTCCTTGTTCCCAAAGAATGGCGAAGGGTTCTTCCGCTGGGTTCACTTGAGTTGTTCTCATGAGAATCATTACAAGGTGTCATTGCAAGGAATCATCATCATGAAAGTCAATGCGAGGAGTCATTGCAAGGAGTCATTGCAAGGAGTCATTGCAAGGAGTCATTGCAAGGAGTCATTGCAAGGAGTCATTGCAAGGAGTCATTGCAAGGAGTCATTGCAAGGAGTCATTGCAAGGAGTCATTGCAAGGAGTCATTGCAAGGAGTCATTGCAAGGAGTCATTGCAAGGAGTCATTGCTAGGAGTCATTGCAAGGAGTCATTGCAAGGAGTCATTGCTAGGAGTCATTGCAAAGAGCATTGCAAGGAGTCATTGCAAGGAGTCATTGCAAGGAGTCATTGCAAGGAGTCATTGCAAGGAGTCATTGCAAGGAGTCATTGCATCTGCGGGGATCGGCGTGGTCGAGGTGCAAAAACCGATGGTTTTTTCGCGATTTCTAACATGCTCGCGCGACCCTCTGCGGGGATCGGCGTGGTCGAGGTGCAAAAACCCATGGTTTTTTGCGATTTCTAAAGTTCCCGCGCGAACCTCTGCAGGGATCGGCGTGGTCGAGGTGCAAAAACTCAAGGTTTTTTGCGATTTCTGCGCTCGCGCAACCCTCTGCGGGAATCGGCGTGACTCTCTCAGCAGGGCAGCCCTTGTCAGGACGGTACCAAGCCGTAACCCCAAGCGCCCGACAGCGCACTGGATGTAATTAGGTCAGACCGAACACTGTCGGAAACACGAGCGACGACGAGGCTATGGGCTTTTTGTTATGGACCAGTCGGTCAGCGGTCATTGTTGACAGCACAGCCATAAAGGCAATAAAGAGGGTGAACCCGCGAGCTACCCTGCGGAAATGTACGTCACGGCCCTCTGCCGCCCGCGAACAAGAAGCAAAGAAACCAGAGCGAACCAAACGACGAACAACGCCCCCAACAAAACACAGACCAAAACCCCCGAGAGGGTGAGACAAAATCCACCGTACGCACAAACCGCGGGGCTGCCAAGGCCGCTCACAAGGAGCGTGACTCGGGCAAGGCGGCCTACTTCATGTTTCCAGCAAATCAGGCATCTTCCTTACTAGCCGAAGCGTTCAGACCTCCACCATCGTCCATCCGCATTCAGCTTGACCCTTGTGCGACGCGGCCCCCCGCAAGTGACCCTCTTGCCCCCCCCGCAAGTGAGGCGCGCCAAGTCCCGAACAAAAAACGAAAGAAAGGGGGGGAACCCCAACCAACAGAACCAAACCGGGGAAGGGCTGCCGTGAAATCGAGTGAAACGACTCTCCACGCGAGAGTCACGCAGGTAATGAGTACCCAAGAGGGACATCTGAAGGGCATCACAGCGACATCACTGCCAAAAGAGGCGCGCAGCATTCAAGGAATGTCGCTTTCAAGGGCGTAGCCAATCAAGATGCGCTTTGCCAGAAAAGCAAAAGCAATCAAGATACGCAGCACGCGCAACAATTGTCACATCCCCAAAACACCACCACTCAAGGCGTGGAGTACGATGACGATCATCGTTCTATGAAAGAGGCATTCACAAGTCATTCAATTTTCAAGCAGGCAAAATTTCCTCTAAATCCTAGCAAGCGCACACTGTTGAGACGTGGAGTGTCCTCAGCGTGCATCAAAGGATAAGGCAAAACCTCTTTGATTCTGGCGCACACTTGTTGAAAAGCAATAACGCGAGTACTCAAAGGCACGTCAGTTTGTGTCGCCGTCCGGAAACATGGGAAGAGTTCTAGCCATGAGATATCAAACTCAGTTTGGTCACGAGGCCACCTAAGCAAAATTGCCCACGGCTGAGCAGGATTCACAACCACCACGGGAGCAGGGCTTCAGCCTCCTGGGCTTGCTTACGCTTGAAATCATACGTCTCTGGACCGCACGCAGTAGGCACATGTAAAAGAAAAGCCTTATGCCCTCGAGTTCGTTCACTTGCGTCTGTTCTTCAAGGATTTGTCTGAGTCGGGGTTCGATATGGTGTCTTGCGCTTTTAGCACATTTGTCAGCCTCATCATTTCCCATGAGCGGTATAGAACGTTAAGGTCATCAATCTGCGTCAAATCCTCGCGGGAGGCGACTTTTGTGAGGATTACGGGATTATGGTTTATCTGAAAATGACTGCAAAGTCGCACTAGATATCAAACATTTTGCGTTGAGTCCTTTTGTTCTGGGATCCCTGGGTTGGAAGGTACAGTTTTGCCGTCCAACCCACTGTCATGAGAGTCTTATCAAGAAAAGAAATCGGAAGTTGAAAATGGTCATGCGTGATAGGTCCTGGTGGCTGAAAGCCACTTTGAAAGAGTTGCCAGCTCAGCCGATGGAAGTGGATTCTCTTCGGATTTTCTCTGTCTCGAGTCCAGTGTTGGAAAAACAGTTTTGTGAGAACGATTTGATTTTGCGCACGGATGATGCGGGCGAGCTAAAAAGGACATGTGGGAGAGAGGCAGGTCAGGTCAAGTGTGACGCAATTGAAATGACTTTTACTGAGCAGGCGCCACGTGGGAAGCCGGGCGAAGGTCGTAGTTGCTTGAAGAAGGCAGGTCAGGTTCGAATTGCGCAGGAGATGTGTGGCGGTAACCCGTATTCCTATGTCTGTCGTATGTTTTTGAGAAAGAATCAGAAGAAGAGATCGTGGAGGTTGAAGGCACTTCGGAAGGTCAAGAGGTGTTTGCGCCGAAGCCAGTAGAAGTGAGAGAAGGGGAACCCTTTGAGGGAGAACCCTAGGGATGAAAACGAAGAAGAGGAAGACCCTTTGGATGCGCCGACTGATGTCATGACACAACATGTGAGTCAAGGGCATTGGCCGATTTGAAATCATGTGATTCATGTGTACAGGCCCGCGGTCGCGCGCCGGCAAGGACAGTGAAACAGCAAAGGCCTGGTTGGTGAGGAGCGTGTGTGTACGGCGTGTGCTGATTTTTGCTTTTTCCCGGGTGCGGCGCACAAGATATTGTTGTTGGTGGTGGTCTGGTTGATCATGGGCGCAAACTTTGACAGGTCGGTTCAGTCGCTTGCGTCGACTCTTGAGGAAATCGGACTTGGAGGTAAGCAGGTGGAGGCGGTGTGTAACTTAGATGATGCCCTCATCCGTTTGCTAAAGACAGGAGCCAAGAGTCCACGTTTTTATGGTCGTGGAATGCATTTTCGGGAAATTTTGAAGGAAGAAAGAGCTGCTGTTTGTTATGTGCGTGAAGGTGTGTGTGCCAATTGGTTGTACTTGGAGTC